TTCCTTAATTATATGACAACCCCTATTTAACTGGCAGCATTCATCCAATTTTCACTGAGATTGCAAGATGGTGGGCCGCTCTAAGATGAATGAAAGCCTGCGACAGGAGGTGGTCTAGATCAGTGTTTCCCAACCTTTTTTTAGTCGCGGCACCCTTTGGAAATTTTGTGGCACTTGTGGCACCCTACAAAATTTATTTTGTCACAATATTTGAATTTCTGCAGACAGAAACAATACTGTACTACATCGATGTTTCCTGTCGGCTCAATTTTTGAGTGGACTTTGCTGTTCCGATTCGCATGAACGGTATACGACTATGAGTGGAGCGACTGAGCGGAGCGCACACGCATAGAGCGGGATTATACGCAGAGCGTCACACCACGTGAAAGTGAAACCTGAGTGGTGAACTAATTTTCGGCAGCCGAAATTTCGGTGCATCTCTAATTATTGGCGACATCAGAAATGGATATTATATAATAGATGCTTTTTTGAACATTTTAGCAATTTAAAAATATTAAAAAATGATTTTTTTACACTGCCCCCCTGCTCTCGACAGATGGCACCCCAGGGTGCCGCGGCACCCCGGTTGGGAAACACTGGTCTAGATGAAGGCCAAAGGCATTACTCTTTCAGCCCTTGCAAGAGAAGCTAGTCATTCCAAATCTGTGATTTCTAAAATATTGCAGGTTTACAATGACACTAATTCATTCAAGTCCCCCCAAAAGACTGGTTGTCCACGTAAGACAAATGCACGAGAAGAGAGGATAATGCGGTGACTCTCAATGAGGAATCGGTTCAACACTGCAGCTGGAATTCCTCGCCAGTTCAGCGCTGAACAGGGTAAGGATCTGTCTCGGCATGTTTAAGAGGAGTCAGACTGAAAACGCACTCTGCAGTGACCAAGTCTCTCATCAGCAGAAAGAATCAAAAGGCTAGGCTAACCTTTGCTGAGGAGCATGTTTTGTGGACAGAGGAGAACTTGTCCAAAGTTCACTTTAGTGATGACAGCAAGTTTAATTTATTTGGGTCTGATGGAACACATTTTGTTCAGTGTCAAACAGGGGAAAGACTGAACCCCGAGTGCGTAAAGAAGTCAGTGAAAGGTGGAGAAGGAAGTGTCATGCTTTGGGGGATTTGGATTAGGATTAGGGGTTGGGCCTTTTATACAGCTACATGGCAGCATGAATGCAAATATTTATCAGAACCTCCAAAATGCAGTACCTTCCCTGCAAGCATCTCCCAATCCGCCTGCAATTTTCATGCAAGACAATACGCCTGTCACACTGTCATGCAAGACAATACGCCTGTCACACTGCAAAGCGGGTAAAGCAGTTTTTTGAAGCTAATAACACTGAGGGTGTACTCACACTAGGCACGGTTGCTTTGAACCGAGCCCGAGCGCGATTATCCCCCCTCCCCACTCCCCCGCTGGCCTGCACTCACACTTGCACTAAACTTTCTGGGCCAGAGCACACTTACGTCATGTGCGAGATAACGGAGAAAACCACTTTCGCTAATATTCTGTCGAATAGTTAATAATTAATTTATAATTTGTGTTGTGCACTGATTTTCACTTGTATGTATCAGAGAATTATTACGGAGGCAGCTGACCTTAATTAAATAATTTGCAGCTTTACTCGCAAACTACATTTCCTGTTCATCAATAAGGTGAGAACCAGAGCCATTATAAACCTAAATATACTTGATTGAATTAAATTTCATGCAAGACAATACGCCTGTCACACTGCAAAGCGGGTAAAGCAGTTTTTTGAAGCTAATAACACTGAGGGTGTACTCACACTAGGCACGGTTGCTTTGAACCGAGCCCGAGCGCGATTATCCCCCCTCCCCACTCCCCCGCTGGCCTGCACTCACACTTGCACTAAACTTTCCGGGCTGGAGCACGCTTACGTCATGTGCGAGATAACGGAGAAAACCACTTTCGCTAATATTCTGTCGAATAGTTAATAATTAATTTATAATTTGTGTTGTGCACTGATTTTCACTTGTATGTATCAGAGAATTATTACGGAGGCAGCTGAGCTTAATTAAATAATTTGCAGCTTTACTCGCAAACTACATTTCCTGTTCATCAATAAGGTGAGAACCAGAGCCATTATAAACCTAAATATACTTGATTGAATTAAATTAATTGAAAAGTGTAGTGTAGTAGTAGTAATAGTATATGTTTGCGGTCGTAATGATGACAGTAGCGCACACAAAACAGTATTTGATCCATGCTCCGGCTCGGTTAGCGCTCACACTGCATGCGTACCGCGCCCGAGCCCAACCGAACCGTGCCCTGGCCCACCTCTTCCAACCAGGCCAGGGACGGCTAAACGAACTGCGCTCGAGCGCGGCACGGAGCACTCACACTAGTCAAACGAACCAGGCTTTGGGGGTCAAACGTGCTCGGGCACGGTTCAAAACGCCTAGTGTGAGTACACCCTGAAATGGCCAGCCCAGAGTCCTGATCTAAACCCAACTGAAAATCTCTGGAGAAACCTTGGAGACAAAGTTATGGCTAAGAAAACGAAATATGGAAGAGAGTTGAAGAAGAGTGGACAAAGATCACACCAGATGTGCTGAAGTCATTCAAAGCAAAGGCCTCTACATTTCCTACTAATTTCTGACATCTGTAGCCCTCCAAGATTTTAGTTGTAATCTTCTTTCGTTCCACAGTGGTTACGGTTCTCTAATTTTGATCACTGTGTTTTCCACAAAATAAAGGTTTTTGTTGAAATGCCTTGGTTATTTTGTCAAACATATTATTAGAACAGTGGTATACCTACAGCTAATATTCCTTCAAATTTTGAGTGTTTGAGTGTTAACAATATTTCAGAAAATATCAAGTATTTATAGATTGTTCTCTAATTTTGATCTCCACTGTGCATACATATACATATATATATATATATATATACATATATA